GCGATGGCCGGAATGAATAACGGGCTATGAAATGAGTATAAGACATGTGGCGCTTGTCGGACGAGCAGGTCTATTCGCAATGTCACACGAGAGATCCTTTTGCGGGTTGTAACCAGAAACAAGCTGTTGGCAAGCATGAGAGCCATGCTAGGCAAGCCATGGCAGGCAAGCCATGGCAGGCAAGCCATGAGACACCGACTACCAGCAGCACGCACACCATATCCTGTGAGCTGTGGAGACGAGCTCCTGTGCCTTTACAGTGCCGAGAACTGTCAGGTCTCGTAATCTTTCAAAGCAGTGCATTAATCCTTCATGCGGGCCTGTAATGCACATTTGCACATTTTGCATTCGAGCCCCCTGGCTTCAACTGAGCATGAAGCGTCTAAACTTTAGAAGACCTGATGGCATCAGAACAGCGTCTGCTTTGTTTCCACCCGTTTTCACACGATATCCATAGCTGATTTCCCTTGAATCTTATGCGGGGCTTAGTTTGACTCCCTTGATCTTCATGAATCCACCATTTGTTCCAGTTTGTTCTTTCGTGGTCGTTTTTTTCTTCGAAAGCTTGGACTGATCGCCAGATCGCCATTTTTGAACAAAAATCCTGTGATTGCGCATTCTGTTGGGGAACATGAGGTAAAACTAGATTTTACGACACACATCTATTTTTGGATCGAAAGGACACGTCAAGTGAATGAACAGTCTCAGCACATATGTAGTGTGGTACACGGTACACCTAAGCGGTCGTTGTGTTCGTGGCAATCAGGAATGTATGGTTATGTGGGTTTTGCCCTTGGCTGAAAGGGGAAAACACATGTTTATCTTATCTATTGATGGCTCAGGATGCTAAACGCAATCAGAAATGACAATCGTATTGAACAGAAGCGACTTTAAAATGCTCGGGGCAGGCTCAGCTGTGCTCAGAAGACGTGGTTCAGGAGCAGATTTCATTAAGTCTTGCTATTTCATTGCCAACAACACTACAACGGATGATAGTTCGGTTTATAACGCCGAAAGCGTTTCAAGAACACATCCGTGAGCTCTGTTTGGCAGCCACGTGGTCGGAATGCCAGGTGAAGAGCCTGGTGGTCAGTCAAAATCGCTCGTCAAAACAGGTTTACCTGCGAACGCAAATACGTTATCAGTTTCGAATGCATTCCTGCGCCTTTTGCGTGTTCCCGAAATTCGCCACTGTTCCGATATTCTAGATATGCGCAAAAGAGCGTCGTAATGTCCGACACCTCATCGTAGCGTACACTGGAACAGTCGTGCATATCTGTATGAAAATATCTGTTTCCCACCCATACTCCCTGATACTGTCTTTTTTCATACTTAGAACGCCGCGGAAATATCATCATCGGTGTGGTAACTTGTGTGGTAACGATGTGGTAAAGTATCGCACGTCAAGCGATAGCAAGACAAATACTCCACGCCGAAAGATCATGCACGATAAATATCGCAGTGGTGAAGGATCAAGTGGTTCTTGTCACACAGGATCGTACGGGGAAAACCCGTTCCGGATGAAGGTCAGTATGGAGGCAGGACATGAGGGATACAGACTGGATGGGATAGAGTTCCTATGCTAGAACATCGTACACGACAAATATCACAAGGACGAATTTATGACTGGACACGGACCCCGTAAGATAAAGGTCACATGACAACTTTCGTTCCTGGGTGCGACATCGCAGCGTCGCACAACGTGTAGCCAGCGCCTGACCGACAAGCGACGGCGCCTCCGCATCCAGGAACAGGGGGACGGAACTGAACGGTCAGTGGCGAACGGCCGGAACGAAACCGAACGGTCGGAACTGAACGAGTGCCCGGTTAGAGGTCGGCGCCGGCTGGAAATACAAATGACGCCCAACATTTGACGTTTTGCTTGGCGCCTCCACTTTGGAGATGCACGCCCAGTAGGGAAACCGTGTCACTGTAAGAATTTCAGGCATCAGATTTGGTTCACTGAGTGCGGAGTTGAATGGCAGGAAGGAAAGAGGAAACCCGTGAGCATCCACACCTGATGCTGTTTCTGTCTTTTCTGAAGACATGCAGCCACACTGGCTTCACTTAATTACCTTAATTGTGGAGCTGCAGTCACTTCTCTTGCTATGGGTTCTTTAAATCTCGGCGACCTGGTGCGATACTATCGCACACCATATAAGTACGACATTTCGCACCACCCATCTTACCCTGAACGATTTTTAGCTTGCAGCTTTCTTTATCTCTTTTGACCTTTTGCTATCATCTTCATCCCTGACAACCCTTATCCGATGAAATTTTACAGTATTTTGCCTAAGAACTTTTTCAGACGTTTTACGATGTAACATTCGTACCAAATGACTATTGCCTGACGATCCTGATTCCGTATGAGCCTTTACTTATCAACTCTTAATGCTGTTCCTTCCTCATGGTCTTTGGCCATACTATTTATCCACATGTAATCTTTTCCATAAGACCTTTTGTTGACGACATTTCTTTTTTCCATCACCCTTAAGATCATCTTCTAGCCAGCAATCTGTCGACATGTCAGTCTGGGGTGCCGACAGTGCAGCGGTTAGACCGTAAGTCTTGGAAGCCGGAGGTACGAGGTTCAATGCCCGGCGGTGCCCGTTCCTCCTGCCAGGATGATGAGAGGTAGGCGACTCTGTATAGCTTGAACAGCTGAGTGCCATGTAAAACCCCAATGACACACGATGCACTGATCTGTACTAAGGGGATGTAATCTTTCGACACCATCGACTAGCAAAAAAGAAATCCAAACCCATACTAATCTCCGAATCATGCTTCCAGAAAGTTTCTTCATTCCAATTGCCTGGTGCCGCCTCCGCGCGGGCAGTTTTGCTGTCCGTGTATGTGCGTCTTACCTGCATTTTCTTCATGATTGGATCGTTTCAAAAATCTTTGCAATCAAGATCAGTCAGTCCCGGTGGCTCAGTTGATTAGAGCGCCTGCCCTCCGATCCACCCACGCGTGGTAGGGTGGGTTCGAGTCGCTTTAGGGCACTCGCTATTTGACCTTGACAGATATGGCCTGCGGCCGGTGGCAGCGGTCGCCCTAAAGGTCAGTTGACGTCAGAGGGCAAGACGGACCGTGCCGAGCAGCGCGGCACGTTAAGCTTTCGCCACCAGATTCTGCCGTTGCCTGGAATTGCGCGATCGGATGGTGAGGTCAGGGCTCACACAACAAGCACTGCTTAGCGTGGGGGCTGATCCCAGAAAGTCATCCATTCAAAAGGTTCGGATCAAATTAATAAAAAAGATAACATTGTTTTCATAGGTCGTTCAGCCTCACTTACGGGGACAGCTGGCTATCTAAACTTCCGTCCATCGCATTATGCCCTTGGATCAGACCTTGAGGGTTCATAGACGTCACACATCGTCTAAATAAGATGGCCTCTTGTGCGATAGACCATATTATGGTTCACTTCGGACAAGCATTAACACGCGCTCGGGAGGCCGGTTTAGTGTGGCGCGTTCGGAGCGGGGTGGGGGGGGATTTCATCCCACTGATATCTCAGTAACTAAGAGAGCTGATACAGAAAGCTCACAGGGTAAGTGAGATTATTCATGAACTCGCTTGCGGTGAACTTAAAATCCCTAGGTCGTAAAATTCTGGTCACATAAGGTCACGCAAGGTGAAACGCAACACCGTTGTCCTGGGTGCCCCAGGCCTTCTTACGCAACGAGCCCTAGCCAACACACCCCATATCAGTGAGATGTCGCTGATGTTCATATCAGATCATTGACTTTATTTGACCTTGAAAAATGACCAGGAGCCTTCCGGACCATTTTCGTATTTGAGGTCGTGATCAGCGCCGAGTGCTACTCTAGACAGCATGCTTTTCAAAGTAAGAAGTTGATCGAATTCGTTTTAGACCAATGGCCACCACTTTCATGAAGCCTACATAGGACATTTTTATGTTGCTGTGACCGATGAATTGTAATAAGCGTAAAAAAGGGGCTCATAAAGCAAGTTTTCCAGCAACAAGGTGGTTACATTTTTACTTTGCTCTGACGTCCAAACTTAAACCAAGATAAGTGGAGTTGGTCGTAAACCCAGGTGCAGTAGTCTAATTGCTTAAGAAAACCTCTCGAAGTTCTATGAGCTCTTCAAACACTATGCTGTCGCTTCGCGTTGAACAAATCTCTCGGAATTGTCTTTACTGACAGCCATGTCCTGACTTTTACCTGCTGTAGGCCGGAGATCTTGCAAAATATGTCTAATTATCTATGTCAAAAGAAATATTCACTTACCTACAACTATGCAAGTCATTCTGGAAAAAAATTTCTGGGGTCGTATTACCTTCCCCACTGAGGGCGTGCTAATTGCATATAGCCAGTGCATATGGCCAGTATGGGCAGTGCATTCACCTTAAAATCAAACGTGAAGTGCAACATCTGGCCTAACATTTATCAGTTCAACACGGACTTGCCACGGAGGCCGTATGGGCTGCAAAATATTTAATCCTGCTTGCTTATTGTAGGGGCAATAGCCAGAGCACTTGTGGCTTATTGTGGCGACCATCTGAAAACGAGCAGAAAATCAACACACTTGTTGAACCCACACTTTAGCACGTTATGCTCGAGATCTTTGCCGCATTGGTATGCGGACATCGAAAGCCGCAAATCAATAAATGTCATCCTACAAAACCAAACGCAAGTCACAGGAACCAAATATCCACTGCTTGCCGCATTTTGGCTCCACAAAAATATCTACCAAGCCTTTTGCTGTGGAGCAAAATATACCTTTCCATGCATGGCAAAGTGAGCGTGCCAGCTTCATTTTATTCATGCAACCATCAACGTTTCGCCTGTGATTTTTGACGTCCCTGTACCCTAATGCACTAGGAGTCGCGCCTTGGCCCGCGTGCCGTTCCCTTCTCCCGCGTGGCTCTCGGTCGCCCGCTCCCACGACGGCCAGGTTCGGAGCCGGTGAAACGGCCGGCCGGGGCCGCTATAAAGGCGACGCCGGACCGCGCCGGAGCAGTCGCCGAGCAACGCCGCACGATGAGCCCTGCACGAGCCGTGAGTTCCGGCCGCCGGCCGCCGGCTCCGGCCCACTCGGTGCTGCTCAGTGCCCGGCCGTCGCGACGAGCTCGCCCGGGCGGCGGGCCTGTGGGACCCCGCAGACTGGCTGGCGAGGCGCCACTGGGCAGCAGCCGACTCCGCCCGCTAAAACGGACTCCGCGCCTTGTGTCGGCCCAGCTGGTAGCCGGACTCCACGCGTTGTGTCGGTCCCAGCTGGTCTCATTCGGCTAGTTCGCTGGCCGCGGCTCTGGTCGTCCCCAGGTCTTTGTACCGGCGTGAAGCCCGTAGCCTCTGTGGTGGTGTGCGGCCCCCGTGCCGACGTGAGGTCCATAGGCTGCGTGTAGGTGCGAGGCCCGTGGCCTCCGCGCCTGTGTGAAGCCCGTGGACTCCGCCGGTGTGAGGCCCGTGGAGTCCGTCCGGTGTGAACCCTCCGTGCCTATGTGAGGTCCGTAGGATTCGTGGCGGTGTGAGGCCCGTGGCCTCTGTGCCAGTGTGACCCGTGGCCTCTGTGCCAGTGTGAGGCCCGTGGCTTCTCTGCCGGTGTGAGGCCCGTGGGCTCTATGCCGGCGTGAGGCCCGTGGCCGCTGCGCCGGCGTGAGGCCCATGGCCTCTCTGCTAGTGTGAGGTCCGTGGCTTCTGTGCTGGTGTGAGGCCCGTGGCTTCCGTGCTGGTGTGAGGTCCGAAAGCTCGGTGGCGGCCGTGAGCATAGTTTTGTGACGCCGTTGCTCTGTCCTCCCGCAGCTGATGGTTCCGGCCCTGGCCATGGCCTGCCTGCTGGCGGCGGCCGACGCCTTCCCGCAAGGGTATGAGCCAGAGCCGGTCTACGGCTACCAGCCGGAGCAACCGTACGGCCGCGACAAGTTTGTGGTGGCGGAAATCCAGCCCCGACAAGGCTACGGCAAACCCTCCTACGGACGCGTGAAAATACAGGTGCGTGCTGATGAGTGGCATGGTGGGACATGTCACGCCACAGGTAAGGCATGTCATGCCACACATGCTGTGAAATTTCACAGATTAAGTTAAAATTGAGGTGTTACGTTAGGCATGTGTATCCGAATAAACGCCGATGCCTGAAGTCCCTGCTGTTATATGCACGTTACCTTCATCAAACGCTGACCACGGCAGTGCTTGATCCACGCTACGGTGTGCGGCATGTTTTCCTTTGCGCCGACTAACTGCTATTTTCACCCAGCATAATGCATAGGGGAGTGCAGCCGTGAGCACAGACTAGGCTTCTGACAGACTCACAGACAGAAAGACTCACAGACTAGACTAGGCTCACAGACAGACAGACGAGCTCCACTGGAAGAGAGCCGCGCAAGTGAAATGCAATGCTGAAGGTGTCACCAATTGGAATTGATATAGTTCGGTAATTCTTATACGTTAATGGACCAATAATGGAACGATTTCAACACACATATCGCACATACCCCGTGTTTTTTCCAATTACGGCAGGTTCGTATTCAATTCACCCAGCAAACATTCCATGGATTGCTCGAATTGCTTGTGCTGTAAGTAGTTGGTTCGTGCCGTATCTACGTGCTGCTTGTGTGCTTGCCATTTGCACACACCCATGTCGGATGAAGAGACCTCACTTCACGCGGTAGGGGTAGCCAATTCTGTTTTGTGCCCCACATGAAGACGACTGTCAAAAGCTACTGATCCCGCCGTCGCACCTCCCCGGCGCACCCTTCTGCCGCGCCAGCCGGTGTGCGGTCTCTGAAGCTCTCCCCCTGCTGCAGACGTACCGCGGGCCCAGCAAGGGTCACGGCTACGACGTGTTCGCGCCCTGGGGCTATTACGTCACGCAGCCCGAGGATGATAAGGGCTACGGTTACCACTGAGCCGCGGACGTCATGACGTCAGAGCGGGATAAGGTAAGCATCTGCCCATCGCTGTCAGCAGGTTGTCATAGTCAGCCGGATGTCGAATGATCCTAAATCGCACGTTAGCTAAGTCGTTAGTGTTAATGAACGATTCGTTTTCTTCCTTAAAGGTTGATATCAGCGTTCACGCCACTGATCCGCTTGTGTGAGTGATAGGCATTTATGACCTCCAGCTGTTCTGCATGTCTGTGTCCGTGGAAGTGCCTGGTCTTTATCCAGGGTTTGCTCTGACATTTAGCACTGATAAATGCTGGGACTCGGTATGAGCTAAAATATGAATCTTCTGTATAAGCTAACTCGAAAGCACGAACTCGAACCTCTGTGTCACAGGTCACATGACGAGCAGAAATTGTCCACAAAAAACTTCCGAGGAGCTGAAATAGGGCCCTGGTGGAGCTGGAGCTTTAATGGTGGGGTCAGGGCCAAGGGTCAGGGTCAATGGTCAGGGTCAAGGTCCGCGCTAGAAATAATCGGCCGCACGGTCGTGGTGCAGCTAACGCCCTATCGATGTTCCAGATGATGTGCCCACTAGTCTTTTCATCAGCCGGGCTCTTCCGCGATCCGAAGTCACCCCCGGCCTCTAGGCCGACGTGACCTTGTGCGACCTTGGACGACCCCTGCTGACATCAGCTGGCAGCGCAGTGCCGCACTTCCCTTGCCGGTGCGCCACATGTTCATTGTTCTTGGCTGCATTGCGCATGCGTTCGCATTGAATAAACATCGCGTGTTGGAAGCCCTGTTGCAAGACATCACGACCCTCATGACAGAGGAGTGAATAGCAAAGGCGATATGTACGGACCAGGGTCATACTGGAACTAAATTGTGTCCAAGGTATGATATGCTGGGACTTGCTTGGTAATATACAATGTCAACGTGAACAAATCGAGGTGTGCCTCCACTTCCGTGTGGGCACAGGACACCTCGGTGTGAAATATACAAAGCGAATTGTGCCCTCTGTGATACACCTAAGCAGACTGTGGCTGTCGGCAAACGTGTGGGAAAACTTCAACACGGCATAAGTTGGAGGAACAACACAACAGCATGAGGACTTAATCATGATCAACTTCAAGCAACTTCAAGTGGCTTCATGAAACTTCTGTCCCCGTAGAGAGCCTTGCCAGATCTTTCCTCAAGACAAAAAACACTGACTGGTCATCGGCGACCAGCGCAGTTCCCACGCCCGAGCCAAATCGTGCAAGACTATGTCTCTAGCCATTACTCACCATCTCGGGGCACGCGCGGGGTCAAAGGTCACTCCTCCTAAACGCTTCAGGCACAGTAGGCGCAGCCTTTGCTATCCAACAGACATCATCTGACCAGGTCAGGTCACGGCTCGAGAAGAAAGGCATCACGCCCATCAAGACACTCAAATTTGTATGAAAAGGCCAAAAAAGAGAGCGGTTCTCAATATTGTTTGTTTTTTTCCGATGAGAACCAGTAATTGAACGTCCTGTTGGGTCGCTTGTCTGGCAAGGCACAGTGCAAGACAAGGCGAGGCAGGACAAGGCCTGACAGGCAGCGCGACTTGAAGTAAGATCCATGTGATCCCTACAAATATGGTTGGAAATGCTATATTAAGTGACGCGATTTGCATGTCCGTCAAGTAAGCGTCGCATTCTTATTCGAATTCCGGTCCAGTTCAGACTTTCAACAGTCTTTTCCCTGGGTCCAACCCACTGAAGTATTCAGGAATCTTCACTCCTCTTTTCTCTAAGTCATTTGGTTTGACCCCTTCAGGTAAATGAAGGGTCAAAACGTGGGTACCCTGGCATTTCATCGCTTATCTAAGATATCCAATAAAATGCGTATCACTTTTATCCCAGTGATGTCCTGTGTAAGCAAACTTACAGTAGCTCACTCTCAAGGTTAAAGGTTGAGGTCACGTGAATTGGGATACCTTGATATTTCTTCGCTCATAAAGAGTGCAACAAAAAGGGTGTCATATTGATGTTCACGATGTCCTCTTTCGTCACATCTGCAAAAATTAATGTTCTTGGTCAAAGCCCAAGGCCATAAAAAACACCGTACCCTCACATTTATTTGTGAACCAAGGAAATACAACAAAATGAGTAGCATAAGGATGCTTGAGGTGCCACTTTCGTCACACTTGTAAAAAGCTTCAACAAGTAAGAACTTGCAACAGTTTCAACGTCACAGGTCAGGGTTATACAAAACCCCGTACTCTGACATCCATTTGTTTACACAAGGAACACAACAGAAATCATGGCGTATTGATACTCATGAATCAGCTTTCCCTAAGTTCCAAACATTGACTGTTAAGGTCATCCGTCAAGATCACAAAGATGCGATCCCCTGGCACTCATTCGTTTACCAAAGGATTACAGCAAAATGTGTATCATAGTAGTGCTGGTAATGTCCAAATTTGTTGTATTTCTCAAGGAGACAAATAACAAACAAATAAATGCCCGGACACTACGTTTTGTGACGTAGACTTTTGACCTTCAAAACATTTTTCCTGCGCGTGACGAAATTGAGCATCACAGACATCTCAATGGTAAACATGTTGTTGTTACTTGTTTTTAAGTGAACATATATCAATTTATCGCGTTTTTGTGACCTTGGCCCTGAACCTGATGATTACCTTTCATATATGACGAAAGCCAACACCACATGCATCAGTATTGCAGATTTTTGTGGTATTTTTTGGTTAAAGAATATATTTCAGTGTGCTGTGTTTTGTGTGACCTTGACCTTTAACATCGAAAGATAGTTTTTGCATTTGTTGACAAGGCAGGCATTAAGTATTAATATGTACCCGTTGCATCGTATTTCTTGATGAAACGAATTAATGCCAAGTTGTCGCTTTTTGTCCGAGCTTGAGATTTGACCTTGAGTTATTGTCCTTGTCATGAAAGTGGACGCCCCGAGCACCTCTATGAAAGTTATTTTGTGCCGTTATACAATGCCCTTGACTGTTGCCCTTTGTGTTATGAAGGCGGAAACCACGGTTGTCATCATGCCACCCATTTCATTTTATTCTTCGGCTAGCGAACCATGTCAGGATACCACATTTTTATTACCTTTAACTTTGACCTTGAGAGCTTTCGCAGATGCAAGGAAGGCAGGCGTGACAAACATCCCTTTGACATCTCTTTCGTCGCATTTCTGAGTAAAAGGGATACCACTTTTTATGTGACCTTGGCCCTTGACTTTGAAGGCAAAGCTATGCAGGCGCGAAGAAGGACTTCGCAAACACTGATATGACACCCTTTTTGCTGCAATTTCATCATGAGCGAAGAAGTGTAAGGGTTTCCTATTTTATATGATTTTGACCATTTATTTGCGACTGAGCTTCTGTAAGTGTGACGGGAATGGGCTTCACGGGAATCAGTATGATGACCGTTTTGTTGGATTTCTTTGATAAACGGAAGAATTCCAGAGTGCCCAGGCTTTTACCCTTTATTGACCTGAGGAGAAAAATACAGAAAAGAGACTGCAGATTCGTGAATACCTGAAAAGGTTTTACCTTGAAAGCAAGCTTTGGAAACGTTAACTCCACACTGAATTCGAGTACAATAACGACGCTGACATGACGGACATGCAATTTGTTGCTCTCAGGTAAAGAGTTAGGCCAGAGCAGGATTTCACTCAGAAGTGGCGCTAGGATTTAGATCATTTGGAAAACGCACATGTCGGAACAATTATGCCGCTGGAGTTAACCTCTTGGACATGCCCGTTATTGTCTGCGTAACCGAGCCGTTTTTTCTGAATTTTACGGATTAATTTCGGGTCCCGTTACCCCGCTACAACACTAATGTACTCATGCCATTTTCGGTTTCGCTGCAGTTCTGACGCAGTTTTCAAAGGCAAAACTTGAATGCGAGTTTGATATCCAAGGGCGCGACTAATTAAAGTAACTGACAAAATGAAGAACAAGCACGGCAACGCACTCCCGGCGTGATTCGTCTCTGTCGGCTATTATGTTGCATGAATGCTGGCTAGATATGCGATAATAAAGTTTCTAGCAGTGGCTAAATCTCATTATTGTTCGTTTGCGTCCGTATGCACCCATCCAATCGTTTCAGTGAAATACCATTGTAATATTTCTTGACTAGGTAGCACCACGTAAAATCTTTAGTGTTCATATCGCCCTGACGCATCCTTATCTCAGAGACTTTGTATAGAGAAAAAGCCGAATTACGAATGTGGCTATTCTGAATGCGTCGCAACAGTCGCATTGAGTTCAGCGAGTTTTCCGAGCAAAGCTCACTGTTTGTGAGTGCCTCCAGTCCAGCACTCAGGTAATTTAATGGTAATTTAGTTTTCGACACTTTTTCATCTGACATTTCTCTCATACAGAAAAACAAATGGTCATGCTTTTTGCCGCACCGGTGTAAGGGAGGACCGGCTGTTGCCGAGCTGACCCCCTCTGTCATCTGTCAGCTGGCCGCCCTGCGGACCGCTGTCCCCGCGGCTCGGACCCCGGGTCAGGGCGAATACATCTTCGGTCCCACCCCTTCCCCGAAGTGACGGCCCTGTGCTCGACGCCTGCAGGACACGCGGCCGACAGGCATTCAAGGTCATTTGATCTCAACGTCTTTGAAACAGTTGCCCTGCATTGTACTAAATTTGAATTTTCAATTGAAGGTCAGTGAGAATTTAGTCAAGGACAGTTACATGAAGCAAACATCGTTTTTCGAATTTCTCGATAATTTTGTTATATATGGTCGAGGCCATGTGGGAAATCCATTTCGTATGTGTAGTTCATGAACAGAAAGCACGGCCTGGGCGTAACACGTCTAAACAAGAAACAGCGATGACATGTCTCCGAAGTTTCATAACTAGCACACAACTTATGTACACATGCATGGAGGCGGATGGTAATGAACTTTGGTGCAATGACAGCGGTTCCGACATCCCGACAGCATACCGACAGCTTCCGAAAGCACAGATGCACACGCAACAATAAAGCCAAACAAGGTATGACGTTTCTTAGCCGCCAACGCCTGCTCACTTACCTATTCTGTTCACCCTCACACAACATTCTCATACAATCGCAGAGCTATACTGCCGTCCAAAGGTTTATTTCTGGTCATACCGCCCATATATTTATTTCTGGCCATTTTGCGTTTTTTATATCATCTGATTGGTCTTCTCCTGCTGAATTAAGATATTCAAACCAACAGTTGGGATTTGCACAAGCTTTTGGCTAAAATAAAGGACTAAAAGCTTGTGAAAATTTGCACTAGTGGTTTTGATCACCAAATTCGGCATGAGTACACGAATCAGACGACATAAAAACGCAAAACGTCCAAAGATTAGCATATGGGGGTTTAACTTTGGACGGCAGCATTGGGACATAGCACAGCACAGTTCGTGACAATGACTCGCATGAATCGTGTCAGCCTTGTCACAACTGGATTCGGGAGATTTCTAGCACATATTTCGTTGGGCGCACGCTGCGGATATTTGCTATCCGCCCAGATAAAAACATCGTTATAATGCTGATCATCTGCGCACTCAGGTGTATCTAAACAATATTATGCGCCGAGGAAACACTGATCGCTCACGAATTGCGTATGAAATTACGTAAAAGATGCCGGTTTCGGTCCACAGCCATAAAGCGCACGACGCAAGGACATAAATACCTGCAGTTTGGGCTGGTGGTGCTTGCAGCATCATATCAAAGCAGCTTGATTAAATTCTCATCGAATATGCAAGCACATTTCATTTCTGTAGAGCGACGCAACTACTGAGAGAATGAAAGATTTGCCAAACAACTGTGATCACTTTATTTGTCTTTTGTTCCCGCCTTTACGCGAGTCCAGCCGCGTTCGCGTCGGCGGCCACTTTTGACGTCGTGCTGCCATCTCGTGGATAAATGGTGCACCGTTAGTGGTAATGGTTGCCGGGTAGATTCGACAGGGCGCTGGCCGCAGAGGCGGCATCGGCGGCAGCCGTGCTCCCATCAGGCGGCTTGGCAATAAC